GGGAGCTATAGATAGGGTGAGGTTTGGCTCTTGGCACCAGACTAGTGTCGGGCTTGGAAGGGATGGGGAAGGGTGCTAGAGTCGGTGGTTTTCAGGGTTGAAGGAGACCTTACATGAGGGGATAGTGAGAGCCGGGGCCTGTCTTTCCCATGGCCATGGGGCAGCAGAAGACGAAAAGAGAATAGCGTATGTAGGGCTGTGTTGGAGATGGTTAGGGAGCTCTCCAGACCCTTCTCTGGGTTCCAGGCCTGGTGTGACACTGACTAGCTGTGTGCCATGACCACGCTGCTCAGCAAGTCTGTGCTTCTGTTTCTTCACGGGTGTCATGAAGGGACTGGACTCCCTGTTTGTTTAGGTCTGTTCCAGTTCCAGCGAACAAACTACAAACAAGCAAAACAACCAAGCCTGCCTTGTTTATTTTCAAGAAAGCATTTGCTAATTTCTTTCCAGTACAGCCAGTCCCCTTATTTACCATTTTGCGCTCCTCTCAGGCCCCAAAATTGTGCTTTTTATTTTTAGAGATAAGCAAATAGTTCAGTTTGACTGGAGCGTGGGAAGAAAGTGGGAAGGCAACCAATAGGAATAGAAGCTGAAAGGGAATCTGGGGTTGGACCATGAAGACCAAACTACTCCTAGACGTGGGCATAAGAACACACTGTCCTGGTGCCATTCTTTGACCAGAGAGAGCCCCTTGGGACAGGAAAGGGCTGAAGGAGGACCAGACATAGATTAGAGTCCTCCCTGCTCCTCATCCAACCTCTTTGTTGACCCGAGGCGGCTGGGAGTCTGTGGGGCTAAGGGACACTTCCTTGTCTGTACTGTGCTCTGGGTACTTGGGAATTCCCCAGCCAAGTGTCCTCAAATGCTATGAGTTTTCCCTACTTGCATCAGAGCATACAGTTTGTGTAGCCCTACGTCCTACAGGTGGCCAAGAACAGCTGCTTTCAGGCACTGGGGACAAGGACATGAGGGCTAGAATTCCCCATGCCTAAGTGTGGAGCTCCTCATACGTGGGAGGGAGGTGGGAGTGGGAAGAGGACAAGGACAGCTGCAGGCTTTGCCAGCTCTTCTGAGGTGGCCACATTCCAGCCCAGACCTCAAACACAAAGGAGTCTGAGAAGTGAGTACAAATGTATAGTATGGGGATCTAACAATTTAGAAATGAGTATTTAATGTTATAAAAAAGTAGTGATGGTGGGCTGGGCACAGTGGTTCAGGCCTGTAATCCTAGCACTTTGGAAGGGTGAGGTGGGTGGATTACAAGGTCAGGAGTTTGAGACCAGCCTGGCCAATATGGTGAAATCCCGTCTCTACTAAAAATACAAAAGTTAGCTGGGTGTGGTGGTGGGTGCCTGTAGTCCCAGCTACTCAGGAGACTGAGGCAGGAGAACTGCTAGAACCCGGGAGGTGGAGGTTGCCGTAAGCTGAGATCGCACCACTGTACTCCACCCTGAGCAACAGAGCGAGACTCCATGTCAAAAAAATAAATAAATAAATAAATAAAATAAAAGGAGTAGTGCTAGTGATAAGCTCTCCAAAACAGACTACAGCAGAGTCAGGGGGAGTATATGTGTGGATAACTGTTTTAGAAAGGGAGGCCAGTGAAGTCTTGTGGGATATAGTGGCCCTTAAGTAGAGAGTTAAGTGGAGTGAGGAAGACAGGGCGATGGCATCTCAGCACAGGGACTTGGACCAGCAGCAGGGAAGGCCATGTGGCTAGGGTCAAAGTGGTATACATACATAAGAGGGGCCAATCAGGTTGGGCTTTTGCAGATCATGGTAAAGATTTTTATTTTGAATAATGTGTGTGCTCTTTTTTACCTGCCATGAATACTATCCATTTGTTTATCTGATTAACTCATCAAAGTTTTTGAAAGTTATTTATTACTCTTCAAGGAAAGAGGTTTTTATTTTGAGAATTGTGGGAAGTCACTGCAGGGTTTTTAAGCAAGGGAATGAATGATATGACTTACTCTTTAAGAGCATCACTGTAGCGCAGTAGAGCAGTGAGAGTAGAAACACGAAAACAATTAGGGTGTTATTGTAGCATTCTTTTTCCTTTTTCTTTTCTCTTTTCTTTTTTTTTTTTTTGAGATAGAGTCTCACCCTTTCCCCCAGGCTAAAATGCGGTGGCACGATCTCGGCTCACTGCGACCTCTGCCTCCCGGGTCTAGCAATTCTCCTGCATCAGCCTCCCAAGTAGCTGTGATTACAGGTTCCTGCCACCTTGCCCAGCTAATTTTTGTATTTTTAGTAGAGATGAGGTTTCACCATCTTGGTCAGCCTTGTCTCAAACTCCTGACCTCAGGTGATCCACCCCCCTCAGCCTCCCAAAGTGCTGGGATTACAGGCTGTGCCTGGCCCTCTTTTTCTTAAGACTTTTAGTTAATTTGTGAAAACTATTTATCTCTAAAAATTGGGGTAAAATTATATATTTTTTATTACATGACATAAATTTTACCATTTTAACTGTTTTTTTAAAGTGTACAGTTCAGTGGCATGAAATACATTTACATTATTTTACAACCATCACCAACATCCATCTCCAGAACTTGTTTCATCTTACAAAACAGTTTCCTTTAAACAACTTTCCATTTCCCTCTGATAAAAGATAAACTGCAGCACACTAAGATTTTAAAGACTTTATTGGAGCAGACAGCAATTTATTAATTGGGTAGTACCAAAGGAGTCAAGTGGAAGCCTTTTATGGGGTGAATGCAGAAGCAAGCTAAAGAATATTTGATTGGTTAAAGAGCAGTTTGGGGGAGTATTAGCGATATTAAGTCTTCCAATCCATAAATATAGGATGTCTCTCTATTTATTCATGTATTCTTTGTTTTGTTTTGTTTGTAGATCTTTAATTTCTTTCAGCAATGTTTTGTGCTTTTCAGCACACAAGTCTTTCACTTCCTTAGGTGAATTTCTAAGTTTATTTTTTAAAGATTTTTAAAATTTTTAAATTTAAAAAAATTATAATTTTTAGTTGGCCAGTAATAATTGTACATATTTATGGGGTACAGTGTGATATTTTGATATAGGTATACAATATATAATTAGGGTATTTAGCATATTCACCACCTTAAACATTTGGCATTTATTTTTGAAAATATTCACAATTTGCTAATCTAGCTATTTGAAAATATACAATAAATTGTTGTTTATTACAGTCACCCTACAGTACTGTAGAACACTAGAACTTATTCCTCTTATCTAGATGTCCATTGATCAACTCTTGTGTCCATTAATCAACCTCTGTCTATCTCTCCCTGCCTCCTCCCCTTCCCAGCCTCTAATAACCACTATTCTACCCTCTACTTGTGTAAGATCAACTATTTTATCTTCCATTTATGAGTGAGAATATGCAGTATTTATCTTTCTGTGCCCGGCTTACTTCACTTAACATAATGTCTTCCAAGCTCATCCATGTTGCCACAGATGATAGAATTTAGTTCTTTTTAAATCAATAAATAGTATTCAATCAGGTATATATGACACATTTTTCATCCATCTTTCTGTTGATGAATATTCAGGGTGATCCCATATCTTGGCTATTGTGAATAGTGCTACAATAAACATGAGAGTGCAGAGATCTCAACAAGATCCAGTAATTCTACTACTGAGTATTTATCCAAAGTATGCTACTCATTTTAATGCTATTGTAAATGCAATAGTTTCCTTACTTTCCTTTTTTGGATTGTTTATTATTAGTGATATAAATGCAACTCATTTTTGTGTATTGATTTCCTATCCTGCAACTTTGCTCAATTTGCTTATTAGCTCTATTGGGTTTTTTGTGTGTGCATGTATGGAATCTATAGGTTTCTCTACATATAAGATTTTATCATTTGCAACAGAGATAATTTTACTAATTTATTTCTAATTTGGATCTCTTTAATTTATTATTTTATTTTATTTTTTTGAGACAGGGTCTTGCTCTGTCACCAGGCTGGAGTGCAGTAGTGCGATCTTGGCTCATAGCAACCTCCACTTCCCGAGTTCAATTGATTCTTCTGCCTCAGACTCCCAAATAGCTGGGATTACAGGTGCACGTCACCATGCCCAGCTAATTTTTGTGTTTTTAGCAGAGACGGTGTTTCACCATTTTGGCCAGGATGGTCTCAATCTCTTGACATTGTGATCTGCCCGTCTCGGCCTCCCAAAGTGCTGGGATTAAAGGCATGAGCCACCACACCCTGCGTTGTTTTTCTTGCCTAATATTACTGAAGCTTTCTACCCAATAAATGAGGATTTGAACGGTGATGGGGACGTGCATAATGGTTGGATTTGGGACATACTTTATGGGCAGAACAAATGAAACTTGTTGGCTCACAGGTGGGCGGTGGAAGAAAGAGAAGTTAAAAGAGATTTCTAGGTTTATGGACAGATTAGCTAAATTATTGTGGTACCATTTGCTTAGTCGGGGTAGATGGGGAGATGCAGGACTAAGGGGGAAGAGAAAAGCTCTATCTGGGCCACACTAAATTTCGCCATGATTGTGGATCAGATAGATAAAAAGCAAGAGAAGAAGGAGGGAAGAAGTCAGAACACAGACCTCTGGGGAAAGCTTACATGTAGAAAAGGGATGGAAGAGGAGGCATCAGAAAAAGACGCAAAGAAGAGCAACCTGAGAGGTAGAAAAAGAACAAGGAACATCAGAGAAATGAGGAAAAAGTTTCAGGAAAGTGGCAATGGTCAACTATGCAAACAAGAGGGGAAGGAAGGTGAGGACTGAGAAAGGATCTTTTACGTGAACAACGAGGAGGAGGTTATTGGTGACCTCTGACAGAAGATTTTCAGCAGAGTGGATAAGGTCTCTGCCTGAATGCAAGTGAGTTGAAAATGCAAGCGAGTGAGGGAAGTGCTTTAAACAAGTTTAGAGTGCTGTGTGTGTGAGGCAATGTTGCTATTACTGTTGCCACGGAAACAGAAACCATTTAGGAGAACTAAAAGCTACTGAAAACCACTGACTCTAACCCCTCATATCCGCTTGATCTCTCGTGAAAGATAATGATAAAAACCAGTCATTAGAGGGGCAGGGCAATTTTAAGTTTCTTCTTTTTAGACATAGCCCCTAACGAAATCCTCCTCCTTCTTGAGAAGGGAGCTTGCACTGACATCTACAGTGGCTTCTAAAAAGCACAGATGACCTGCTATACTTCCTGACTTTCTTGCTATTGGTTGGCACCATTCATAAATATACTTTGCTGTTTTACTTTTCTTTGAAATAAGCAGGCTGAATTACGTGGAAGAGAAAGGCAGGAGAGATAGAGGCAGCAGAAGCCAGGGCGGCTGAAACACAGAGACCTTCAGGTGGGCATTTTAATCTTTGTTTTGTTAATTCATTGTTGAGAATCAAGCCTTGATGATAACTTAATAATCAGAGGAATAATTTTTGAAAAGTAAATTTTGTTTTGTTCTACTATCAATGTTATTTTCCTGTCATGTACGTGGTAGTTTAAAAAATACTGTAGAAGTACAAAAATGTTGAAGGAAGCAAAATTCTCCACCAAGATAAATTCCAAAATTCTCCACCAAAATTCTCCACCTCTATTGATATTTTGCGTGTGTGTACGCACATATAACTTTAATTTTCATAGTTGCATCCCTGCCTTATGGGCAAGTTTATATTCACTTTCTCTATTTCAGTCTATGATTTTTCCATGTTGCTGTGAATTCTTTGTAATCATAAATTAAAGCTGTCACATAATATTACATTGAGGAACTTTACTATGCTTCCTCCATTTTTGGCTATATACATTTTTCCTATTTTTCGTTGTTTGGGTCCTTTTATTATATAAGATATATTTTTTCATTCAGGGTCTTGTTGTAGAGGTAGAAGTTAAATTTGAGGACATATATTTCAATGGATTTGCTCAGAGCCACAATGAGAGTGAAAGAATGTGTGAGGTCATGAGTGTATCATCTGTTCCTTACCCCACTGGGACCCTAATCAGTGTTTCTCAACTCTGGCTGCACATTTAGCCAAAATCACCAGACTCTGAGGAGATTAGAAAGTTACCCCTAGAATAATTGAAGCTTAACTTTTGGAGATCAGCCAGTCATCTGCAGTATTTTGTCTTGTTTTCCAGAAACATCTCAGGTGGGTCTAATGAGTGGTCAGCATAAAAACAGATGACCTAGGTCATTCAAAATATTTTTCTGTCTTTGACATATACCAGAGAGTAATATGTATCAGGAGAAAGGGAGGTATAATTTTAGGCAAGCCAACCAAATCTCCCTCTCAACACGACATAAATAGTGCACATTATAGAATGATTTGTGGGAAGCAAGACTTCTAGAAATTTCTATCATCTACCTCAGCCACATAAACTGTTGAGATGAGAATCTACTTGAGTTTCAATTTACAAATGTTTTAAAGAGGTGGATTTGTTTCCAGTGTTTCGATGATTACAAGTTAGAGAAGTTAAGGCGGTAGTATGTTCTAAATGTGTCTGAATCATGCCCATATCTGCTAGAATCTGCCAAGGCAACCGGGCTTCTTTTCTTTTGCAAACTCTTTTTTTTTTTTTGAGACAGAGTTTTGCTCTTGTTGCCTAGGCTGGAGTACAATGGCACAATCTCAGCTCACCGAAACCTCCGCCTCCTGGGTTCAAGTGATTCTCCTGCCTCAGCCTCCTGAGTAACTGGGATTACAGGCATGCACCACCATGCCCAGCTAATTTTTTGCATTTTTAGTAGAGACAGGGTTACTCCATGTTGGCCAGGCTGGTCTCGAACTCCTGACCTCAGGTGATCCATCCGCCTCGGCCTCCCAAAATGCTGGGATTACAGGCATAAGCCACCATGCCCTGCCCTGTTTCAAACTCTTTAAGATTAAACACAAGGTGGGCATTTAATGGCTGGCCAGTCACACACTGGGGGCATAGTGAAGATTGATGGGATTGGATTTGGAGGCAGGAGGTGGCTCACTCTGGCTTTTAGGAGCCCCATAGACATGGCACTTACCTTCTCTGGACCCCACGTTGGACCCCACGTCCTCAGGAGGAAAGTGGACAGAGTTTATGCCAGGGCTGTATTATGGTTTCTCCCACTGGGGACTGAAAACAGCCAGAACAGCTAAACTACATTGAAGCATTTGCTGTTCCACTCCTAGCCTACTGCAGGCCAGAATCACCCCAACTTGATCAACAGTGTGTTAATTAAACTTCTTCTTGTTTTGACTTAGTGGAAAACACCTGTGTAGTACCTTCTTTAATGAATGTAAACATTCACACAGTACTGTTTACAAAACACAAATCAGTGCCTGCATCAGTTCATTTGATCTATTTACATGCATCATTTCATTTGACCCACATACTAGCCTTAAGAACTGGAGGGTGCAATTCTTATTTTAAAGATGATAAAGATGAGACCCAGAGAACATAGGATCTTTCCCAGGTGGAATGAGAACTGGTCCAATTTGGTTGAGCGCAGGGCACACAGTCTTTTTTTTTTTTGAGACAAGAGTCTCAGTCTGTCACCAGAGGCCAGGCTGGAGTGCAGTGGCCCTACCTCTGCTCACTGCAACCTCCGCCTCCTAGGTTCAAGCAATTCTCCTGCCTCAGCCTTCCGAGCAGCTGGGACTACAAGCGGCCGCCATCACACCCAGCTAATTTTTAAATATTTTTTAGTAGAGACGGGGTTTCACCATGTTGACCAGGATGGTCTTGATCTCTTGACCTCGTGATCCGCCTGCCTCGGCCTCCCAAAGTGCTGGGATTACAGGCGTGAGCCACCGTGCCCAGCCTTTCTTACAACTTAAATAATAGCTACTGTGGGAAATTGGTTAAACAAATTTCATAATGTTTATATAATTGGATACTCTGTAGCCAGTCAAATGATGACATTGATGTTATTAGTTGCCAAAGAACGATGATCATGGCACAGAAATAAGAAAACAGCAAGGTACAAAACAGCATTAAAAATGCACTCATTTTGTTTAAAAATATTTGTATATATTTCAAGAAAAAAGCATATATGCAAAATTTTAGATATGTCTTGTTGGTGATAAACTTTGTAATTTCAGTTTATTTCAGCTTGTATTACATTGCAATTTTTTTTTTTTTTTTTTTTTTAATTTTTTTTTTTTTTTTTTTTTTTTTTTTCCGTGAACATGTACTACTTGTGTAATAAAAATAAAGGAAAGTAAATAGAATTGTTCATACCTTTCTGGTTGGCTCTTCTCCAGATGAAATAGTCCCAACCCCTTTCACTTGGCCACAAAGAAGGTTCCTATTTAATTCTCTGAGTTTTGTACCTTGTCACAAAAAACTAAAAGGCTGACTAAAAGGCATAATTGAAACTTAAACCCAGGACCCTTTTAACTCAAAAGCACATGCTTTCATTCATTATATCACCCTGCCTCCCATCCGCCTGGGATCACACAACAACCCCCGTTTTAGAGGAAAGATGATATATTTTTTCAGTGTACTCATTATTGTGTACGTGAGTACATGAGGATTAACTTGGACGTTGTTAGCGTTTCCTGTGTGCTCCAGAATCAAGGACTCTTTCTGCTTTTCTATAGTTTGCTCTGTGCACCAGACATCTGAGACACTCTAGTCTTACCCAAGGGTAAGCCTTTAAGGTAAAAGCCTCACAAGGGTTAATGGTCTTGGCATGAGAGCAGAAGGCAGCCACAGAAGGTACCCAAATGGTACACATTAACATCATTTCATAGAAAAAGACCATGGGAGTTCTTTCCCCACAGAAGATTTAATTGTGAGGCATAAAATGACGGCTTTGGAAAACAGCTTCATTCGCTCATTTATTGATCATTTATCTGAGCACATTCATATGCCTCACGCTGTGCTGGGGTAAAGCAGCAGACGCGTGCTTGCCTTCTGTGGGCAAACAGTCTGGTAGGTAGGGATAGAAAGGAAGCAACTGCTGCCCCTGGGGTAAATGCTGGACGGGAAGCCCATGGGGCTGCAGCCAGCCAAGACCTGGAGGGGTCAGAGAAGGCTTCTTCTGGAGGAAGTGATGTTTAGAAACCTGAGACTGGATAAGCAATAGCCAGGAGGTGAGCTGGAGCTCAAAAGAAGTGAGCAAGAGAAAGCCTGCTGTGTTGGGGGCCTTGAAATAAGCTTCATGAGACTGAGCATCGTTTACCGAGGGGATGGAGCAGAGAGAATATGATGGATAACAAGATCCATACTGTGAAAAGCCTGGTGACGAACTTGATTCTGTGATGATAATGGATTTTAAGTGGAAGAGTAATGTGGTCAGATATGCATTTTGGAAAGGTTACTCTGGTCACTCTGTGAAGAATGAATTGAGGATAGCCAGAGTGGAGATAGGGAGCAATTGAGGAGGCTGTGTCCATTGTCCAGGTGAAAGATGACAGCCTATACTAGGTCGGTCTTGAATTGACCCCTGAGATGAAAGGAGGGAGTTGGTGGAGTCTGCTGGGTGAACGGGCCAGGTCTGCCACGGAGGAAACCCTGGGCAGCAGGATGAGCAGGGGAGGAGGGGAGCCCACGGTTAACTTTTGCTCCTGGCCCTCTCTTCTTTAGGTTTCAGATACCCACTGCCCCTGTGCCACTGGCAGGTGGGGTGGCAACAGGAATGACAATGCATGTGCCAGGCACAGTGCAGCTGCATCCCTGGCTGTCACCTGTGCTGCCTCCTGGGGTCCTCCCAATTACTCCAAGAGGTTGAGTGCTTGCTGATGATCACAGTTTGCACAAGGAAGAGCTAGGATTCAGATTCAGTTGGGATTTATTCCAGAGGTTTTCCATGATATCCCAATGTATTTAGTAAATACACATGATGTTTAACAAACTACCTTTGTAAATAATTTCTTTTCTCTAAGAAGTGAATTTAATAGCAGAATGCTGTCTAGTAGAAATGAGAAAGAGAGGAAGTTTTAATTTGAATAAATGGGCTTGTGTGGAGCCCCTGGGTCATGTCATTTAGTCACCTTGATTATGGACAGGGAGGACCCTGATGTTGATTAATCCATAGGGATTTACTAGAATAAATAGGACAATGTCTCTATAATAACACTTACTGTTCCTCTGTCTTGGAAATCAGAAGACTTGAAAATCAGAGACTCAGGAGACTCAGATACAGAACAATTCTGTGATTCTGTGGTCTTCCTTAAATCAGACATTTGGTTAGTAACAGATACCTCCAATCCTTCTAAATACATGGATGAAGTGCATTAGAAAATGAAAATCATATTGCTGAGATTTTTACATAAAATTAGATAATTGGCATCATAGACTCATGTGTTATATTAACGAAGGAGAGCTGAGGAAAGTTTTGAGAGCCAGAGAGAGGGCAGCATTTAGTCAAAATAATGTTTA